TGTCATGTGTGCTTTGCATAATAAAATACATTACTCATGGTAAAATCTTTAACCAGAAAAATTATCTGTGGTAACTATCACTTAGGTTATTACAGAACACCCCCTGAGTAACAAAGTAATCAATCAAAAATGACAATCTGAATCGAAACATGGTTCATTTCTGAAATACCTATTCTTAAGCCCTTTCATCAGGACCAGAAAGTGTCTGCTTATATAAGCTGAAAAGAAAAAATTTGTGAACAATCAACATAATAAAATTTTAGTTTGTGGCTTTGATTGGAATCAGTTTCTGTCTTGTTTCAGTCAAAAACAATTCTTTGCACAGAGACTGCGTGATTTAAATAAAAGTGTAAGTTTTTAACATCCAAATACGAGGTTTCTTCTGCCCTCCAACACAATGGCATAGTCAATTGAATTGGTGTTGTGTTCATGCAGCACTACTACTGTTTGTACACTGCTGTTACACGATACTAAAGAATGCGATCAGTACAGTATATAGCCTGACAAAGCAAACACAACGTGCTTTTCTCTAAGAAGATTGCCACCTAGGATGTTTTCCCATACCAAAATAACTCAAGCTTACTGATTTTTTATATCAATAGTTATGAACTTCAGCTGCTTACCTGGAGAAATTGTCTGCCATCCACCATCCACAAAAATCAAATGTCTTGTAGAAGGAAGATTGCTACTAGTAAGCTGCGCTTTGTTGTGTTAGTTCCATGTACTCAATCCTTTAAAGCATGAAAACTGCAAAAAATTCTGCAGGGATGACTCTTACCAACAGTGTGTTTAGGTAAACAGAGTTTGCTCTTGGTTTGGCCTGCAGTTACTAGAGAAACTGTGTCTGACTCTTTCCCTTTGTAGTTCATGCCTAGACTTCCCTGGTGACCCAGGAGACCCATAATTTAATCTGGCTAAGAATGCTTGTGTTGAGTTAGAGGCCTGATCTGAATCCCACTGAAGTCTTTGGACAGATTTCCATTTATTTCAGTGAGCTCTGGATCAGTCCCATGAATGTCCAGGCACTGTAATGAAATACTTGCTGGTGGTTTGGTTTTTCGCTCTTGCTAGGAAGGATTTAAAACCAACAACATCATTTAATGAAAGGTGCAAATGTCTACTTATTTGTCTCGTGCATCATGTCAGTCAGAACGCTTGGCTATTCATCATGTCTTTTGCCATATCTACTGGGATGCTAACAGTTTCTGTTTGGATGCAACTGGGAATGAGTGGGAGTACAATTCGTTGACTGTTATTTAACTGATCTCACATTGGGATGTACAGTTTAAATTTTGGTTTTGACATTTTGTTTCTTAGCTTCTTATTATCCAAATAGAGTACCCAGAGCTACATTTTCTTCAAGTCAGTGACAACTGACAGCAGATGACGGATTTGCGTTCAATGAATCTACCCAATTAAAAGAGCCAGTCTTTCTTGTCACTGAAATGGGAAGTCAGAATTACTCTCATCTGTTCTGGTTTCTGCGCCATTAACAAAAATACTTTTGAACTCCTGCATGATATTAAAAATACTGAGTTCAAAACTTTTCAGAACTTATTGCTATGTCAATGACAACCTTAAAAATTAGAGCCAACTGGGTGAATTGCCAAGGACTTTGCTTAAATTTTCCTGTCTTTGTTGTTACAAATGTGTGCAGTTTGGCCTGGATTTTGCCTCCTAACATCCAAGAAATAGCACCTTATTGCATGACTGATTGCGCTGCTGTAATCTGGTTTCTCAGGTGAAGAGTTTGTTTACTGCTGACTTGCAGTTTATATGTTAACTATGGGAACAAGTAACTCAACAAAAGAAGGTGGTGTAGGGATTCAGACTTCTCTTTAATTGTCCTTTCTGGAATCTAGTCACTTCACTCTTTTGTCACAGAATTTCCTAACTCACAGGGCCTGCCCGGACAAGTTGGAGAAAGTAGGAAGGCAGGAGACAGTTCAAAGTCCCATCAACTGATGTGTACCACTGATCCAAACCAGCTTGGCATTTATTGAGGAAAAGACAGTAACTGGATTATTCCTGAGACTGAACTGTGTCAGAGTCAATTTCCACATGGAAACTATGATGAAATTATGGACTCCAGGGCAGGAGATGAACTCCCTATGATGCCTGCTGCTGTTTTGCAGTGGGAATGTTTTTTTTTTATTCTTGATAGTTCAAGAATAAAAGTAAAACAAGGTTTATGCGAAGAAGTCATACCTTTTATTAGATTTTGATTATAGATTATAGATTATTTGATTAGAATTAGATTAGATTATAATAGGATATTGTGAAGAAGCGACATGAAGGCAAAGAAATCAGACTATATAGCAACTTCCTAAGCTTTGGCAGGAAAGATGGCATCAACCCTAGAGAAGTCACAATCTGTATGTCTGTGACTGTGCATGAAACCCGGAGTGGACTAAACTGTCATTGAGAAGAACTTCAAAAACTGTAATTATGTGCATTATCTGTCATTTTTAGGTGGCAAATCTTGCTCTCATTTAGTATTTTCCTGGACACCAATTTTGTCAGCAGATTTTGTACCCCAAATCCACCATAAGGCATACAGTGAGTCAAAAATGAGTCTATGAAGACCTACTTGTAGGAGATCTGTATCTAGCTGTATCTGTTAGTCTAACCCCTCTTATCAATGGATTCACTCTTAAGATGATAAATAAAGCCCCATTTTTTATAACGCCAACTTCTTATGCAGTTCAGCTACCCTCTCTAGCAAAATCTGCGTGACCACAAGTTTCAAGTTACTTGAGAACTTCTTTTTGTTCTTTTGACTTGTCACCATGCAACAGACGTTTAAAAACAAAGAAAAATTGATGCGGCTGTAAACATGGTCTTCAGTGTTTACAAGGGAATCCATTCAGACCAGAAAATGACCAATCAATTGCCTGACATTTTAAAAGCAAGTTTAATCTCTAGAATAAAATTCAGGCCTCAGGCATGAAAATCCAGTTTGCCTGTTCAAGAATGCTCATCTGTTGCCCAGAGCTAATTTTGGTGTGCCGGATGCAGACAGTCAGACATGAGTAAATTCTTCACAGGCTGCACAGAAAGAGGCTAGCCAACTCCTAAAAAACGTTGTATGGAAATTTTTCCCGGCAATGCATATCAATGGTTTCCTGTTGTCCTACATCATTCTCCAAAAGGCAGAGAACAGGCTACCATTGCCCTCATGCTATACGTGAAAAGGAAGGAAGGACTCATGACTCATATATGGAACAAAATTCTTGTGTGTCATCACAAGCAACCAAGTGCAGTGCAGAGTACATGATAAGGATACACTTCTGGTCAAAACATTGGTGTACTACACTAAGGCTCAACTCCTGGCACTGCTGAATGCTTTTTTGAAGATTCATTATCTATCTCAGACTTTGATTTCTCTTTCATTTGAGTGGTTATTGGAAGGTCTCCATTTGTTAAGGAAGTATTTTAATATGTGAGAAAAAGAAAGCTAAGACCTTTTTTTTTAAAAAAAAATTTATTACTCATTCCTTAAAACCAGACTTTCTACTAAATGTATTGGTAAGTCTTCTTTCTGATGCACAAAGAAAATGTAAAGAGCGAAGAACTAACTATGTGAGTAGAGGAGAAAAGAAATCCAGATATAGCCAGAAATTCATGGTTTAGGGTACCTTTCTGCAAAGATGTGTACTTCTGTGAGTTTGTGCCTTCATGCTTTATTTGTCTTATCTCCTGTCTTGTATCACAATCTATTCACAAGACTGAAACGTAAGCCCTTGAATTGCTTGGCTGCAACATCTACAGTCAAATTAAAAGCCAGTCTAAATACTCAGCTTTTTTTAACCTTAATTTATTCTTTGTCTTGACTGTTCCTGATAGCTGACACTGGAGGCACAGCATCCTGAGACAGCAGAGGGAAAAAGAACATATCAGCTATTCCCTGAATGTGTCCCAGCTAATTATTGCCTGAAGTTTTAGACAATAAAGCATTCACATTTGAGAAACTGCTTGGGTATGAACTCTTTAACAGAGCCATTCATACTCTGTATGAAATGCTTCAAAAATAAAATAAAGCTACACTAATACTATGAACATTTATGAAGATCATTAGGAAGATTAATGTTATGATAAATACAGAGTCATACAATTTTCAAAATAAAGAATACCACATGTGGGGGCTTCATAAGGAAAGAAACTGTGTTGTGTAAAGTCCGCTAGAAGCAGCCAAGTACAATCTTAATAATTAATTAATAAGCCTGGTACTATTTTTCTCATGGTGAATATTTCACTTAAATATTTCACAGAGGTTTATGAGATAAGCTGGTGAACACGACAGAACAGAGTACTGAATCAATCAAATATACCCTAAAAGAAACAGCTGATATTGGAATAAAACCAAGTAGATTGGAAATAGCTTTGAAACCAGCATGTTAGTTAGTCTAATGGTGCACACCTGAATATTGTTACTTTCCTCAGAGCCACATGATTTCCTGTTCTATATAAACCCGAAGCAAGCTATTTTAGAGGAAGAGTTTGGGTGTTGGTTTTTTGTCTTTGTGTAAGTGATATAGATTCTTGTAATGTTAGGTTTGTTTTGTTGGTGATTCTTTGAAGTTGTTTGTAAAGTTTACCTCAGGTTTTCAACATCTCTGGTCTGAGAAGGTAATGTTTGTGGTCTTCACTGTGTAGAAAAGAGCTGTGTAATTGTAAGAAATTCTGGTTGTTGACTGTAGTATGTGATATGTAATAGGGAGTACTATCTTTTAAACTCTTTTTTTATATCCTGTTGGCTTGCTTAATGCAAGTGCCTTCTAGTAATGTGTCTAACTGATTTCACTGCCCAAAACTGAATTTGTCAGTTGTTTGTTAACTGGGCTTATCTAGGTTTGATCTGTCACAGTTTATGCAGGTTTTTCAATATCTATCCTTGGAACTTGATAGTACCTTAATGTTATTAAATCTCTCTAGTGTAGTGTCTCACCTCTACTGATGACTATCCAACAGCTAAAACATCTTGTGTGCTTCAATTTAAAATGAAAGATGAAATTGCTGCCACAGTCTTCTTCATCACAAGGCTAGTGAAACGGGAAGACAAACTGAGCAAGCATAAAATGGAGAAATTTGCAGCTAAGCTGACGACAATACTGTTTGAAAAGTATAAGAATCACTGGTACTTGGACAATCCATCCAGAGGACAAGCCTTCAGGTAAGAGGACCCTCAGTAATAGGGGAGGGGAAATGGACACTTTGCATGACATTCAAGATGCAGTGAGTACCCTTTCAGTGCCTGGACCCCTTAAAGGAGAAATGAGACAGAAAATTGGAAGAGAACCACTTAGCTATCCCTTAAGCTTGGGGGAAGAGGTGTTATTAACTGGTAAAGATGCACCTATTTGGAAAGTGGTTTCACAGTGTGTGTTTGTGTAGGTATGACTAGAGAACTGAGGTGGAAATCTTATGATACACAGTGTCTTGAGTACCCCTCTGACTTCTTGAATGCAGAATTTGAGTGGTATTAAACTAGCTTGTAGAATTGTTGTGACTGCTTGTAATAGTCTTAAAAATTACTGAAGTGAGTTGCTGTATTACGTGCTTAAAACAAAGTCTTGTCTGAGTCTATAAACTACCTTGTTAGGCTGACTTGCTGATTGGGGCTAAAAGTGTGACCTTGCATTAACAGGCTACATGTGTTGAGAAAAGTAAATACTGAACTTAAATGGACCTCTGTATGAGCCAAAATTGCAGTGATTTTTTTAAATCCACCTGTACTTTGTTCTCACCTAGATGTATAAGGATAAACAAACATCAGACAAGAGATCCACTGCTGGAGCAGGCTTGTGTGGAGAGTAATGTGGACTTCAATAAGCTTGGTTTGCCAAAAGAGATGACACTATGGGTTGATCCATTTGAGGTGTGTTGCAGGTGAGTTGAGAAGCTGGTAAGTGCCCTGTACAGAGCCAATCAACTCCAAGCCTGTTACTAGAATCTTAGTGTTTGAGGATGTACTTACTTGCTAGTGTCAGATGACTACTAACAGATGTCCATACTGCTAGCGCAGAGATGCGTTATACAAATACTGACTTACAGATACGGTGAGAAGAACCGGCCTTTCACAATTGCGCACTTTGAAGGAGATGAAAACCCCGAGATTCCGCAGCAGATCAGCTACGCTGTTGATAGAGCAGCACTAGACTATCACTCTGGCATTTCCTCAGATGAGGAGAGCTTCATCAAAGAGCCGAAAGCCATTCCTACTGTCAGCAATCCTAATAGTGTCTACCAGGTAAGCATGTGGTAATGGTATGTGGCTTTCAGTAAAAGCTAGTATCTGCCTTCTAGGTTCCCTCATGAAAGAATGCAATAGACTTAATTGATAGCCAAACTAATCTCTCCTCTTGTCCAAACATGTTTTAATATTGTCTCATTTCTTGCTGTTTAGTTCAGTGACTACTGCAAGGCACCCATACAGCCCTGGTCTCAGTATCTTCATAGGAAGGCCTATATGAGTGATGGCTCATACTATGCCCAGCACAGGGGTTACAAAGTCTACAGGCCAACAGCTGCTTTCACAGGACCCCGTGTTGATAGATATCACTGGATCAATACCAAGTGGTAGATCTGTGGCTGCACCTGTTATGGGTGGTTGAAACACTGAGCTATGGTATGGGATGAAGGCTGGTACTACAAAATTTCATAAAAAGAGAAAGCACTTACTGTCTAATCCCTGTCTCTTACTTTGTATATCTGAAACTTTGGGATTTTATTATATAACCTTTTAAATGTTTTATTAATGTTAACATAAGATTGAAAATTAATGCTAGACTCTTCTTGTAAGTTAAAAAGGAAATGCATATATCAATAAACCTACTCATGTTTTTTTAAAAGCTGTCTGATCTGCTATCAGTGCCCTGAAGGGACTTTAAAAAGATTTTTGGTGAAAACAGAAGCAAATCAAGGAAGATGGAAACATCCTCCAAGTTGCTTTGAAAGATAGTCTCCTTACTTCTGGCAAAGGTAGCAGGGGCAGCTGCATTGTGGGCAAAACATCTATGCATCACTAGCAGAATCACCTTTATGCTCCCCTTTGAGTGAAGCTTTGGGATATGCAGCTGTGAAAAGACTGTCTTGTGGCTCCAGCTAGGCTTTTGCCTCTAGACTATAGCTTACCTGTGACAAGAACAAAGCCTCATGGGCAGGACAGGTGAATACATGGTGTTGTAGCTTTCCACAGCTGTAAGCAAACACATCACCTTCTGGAATGATGGGGCTGCTATCTCTAAGGATTACTAGCCTGCCAGTTTACAATACTGTGGCCCATAGGAAGCTTTTCTCATAGCTCTGGACAACTTCAGTGAAATGATCTGCTAGCTACTCCAGAACTCTAGATAGATGGAGGCTCCTCTTTCAGTGAAAGACTCACTGGAATACTACTGGGCTTCAGAACTATGCTCTGGGATATTGTTTCCAGTACTGAGTAAAAAAGGTGGTCTTTAAAAATTGGAAGACATACTGCAAGTCAGGGAAAAGTTATGTTGATTCCTACTTACTTGTCACCTGCTCCATCATTGCCTCTTGGTTAAACTGTGGGGCGTAAGAGTTACAGAAGCGATGTGTTGCTGGTTAGTCTAATCAAAGTGCTAAATAAACTAGCTTGTCAAAATTAATTGCTCATGTAAATACTTCTGGCTGTCACTTACTGCAACGATTTCTATTTGCTGCAGTCCAACTATTATTACCTAATAAGCAGTGATGGGAAAAAACCTGCTAAAAAGTAACCCTGAAGGGGAAGAGTTGCTTGGTCTGTGAAAGCAGACAACTGAGCCAGTTCAAGGCTGGAGGTCTACCTGTATAAGTGAATCCAAAGAGAAACAAATTAAAACTATAGTATAGATTTTAGCTAAAATCTCTCAGCAGGTGTGAAAATGTCTGTTGTGTCAAGCTATAGGTGTTCAACAAACTGCCTCCTAGCTTACCTTACAAATATGATGTGGATGGGAATAATAAATAATCAAGTGCTGTAATCGGTTATTCTCAGTTATGTCTCGGTCATGCTCCACTGACTTGGTCCATATTTCCTCACAACAAACCAATATCAGTTGTGTACTTCTGCACAAGAATTTTGCAATAAACTTGGTATTAATAGGGTTTGGAAGATCACTCATGCAAAAAGTAGAAATCCTACACTTCCTATAACTAGAGATAGTTTTGTTCATAAGACTTAATTTTAAAGTCTGTTTTTTATGTGTGAATGTTGCAATTTGTGGGGTGTTGATTTAACTGAGTAAATAGGATGTAAGGAGAGGCTTCTTTGTTACTGTACTTAAGGAAGCACTGTTTCCAACTAATTCTTGCAGCTTTGATAATAGAACTTGCACTCTAGCAACTTCATCCTGTTATTGTAGTTGGCAGTGGAGTGTTTTCCTAGTGAAATCAAAACAAGCACCTGTGCATGGGGTTGAAGGTGTGAACAATTGATTCAGCACTTCTGAGATAATGGAATGGATACATAATTTGTGAAGTTATAAAAATACAGCCACTTATTAGTGTTGAATATTTGATGTATAATGAGGTAACAGCATTAGTTTGGTATTCAGTGACTTGGGAAATAATTTGAATCTTGTCACCTGGGGCTGTACTGGGCAGAGAGGAGGTGATGTTTCATAGATCAGTGAATAATGAATGTTTCATGTGCTTTGGGGTCTGGCTCTTGAGTTTGGGAGGAGGAAAGACTGTTTCCCCAAGCTTAAGAGCACGACTAGTCTTTGACAGAACAGGACTTGCATTTCTGCATAGGTAGTACTACAGAGCAGCTGAAATATGGTGACTCCAGAACAAGTAAACGTTGTCTGTGTTGGCAAGTTGCTTTCAGTGGTGGAGATATCTTGCTCTTGATGTGTAATTGTGTAGATGCAGTTACTTGGGTTGATTGTAGCTTTCGCTGTCTTAGTTGAAAAGTAGCAATCATCTGATCTCTGCAGAGCCTTCAGAACGTGTAGTGGAGTAATACATTAGTTTAAAAAAATATTGTTTTTAACACTAAGCAGACTTATGAGTGATTCTGTATTTTGCTTCTGTTCCTGGAAACTCTGAGCTTTAGAAACAATGTTTGTCTTTTCACCGCTTGGATATAGCCAGAAATGTCAGTCACTTAGGCTAAAGTCTTGACACTTGAATTACTGCATTGCTTTCACTTCTAATTTAATGACCCTTTTGTATGAAAGAGAAAAATACACTCTAGTTAACACAAATACAAGATTTACTTCGGCTTAAAGCCTGAGGACAAATGCAGAGGATCAAGTTAGAATCAAACTTCCAAGTCGTCTTTACAACTTTCTGCCTAGGGCAATTTTCTCTTCTAATGCATGTATTTGTTTTGCCAAACAGTCTTTCTCCAAACTAGTTATTTCAAGGTAATAAAAAAGCAAGTCTTCATTGCCTTTACTGTTCAAAAACTGGTGTTCATCCTCTATTATATGCACCAGCTCTTCAGTTAACACATCCACTTTATCCTCAAGTTCTGAAGGGGACAAGTAAGCGCAGGTTTCCTCTTCAAAGCTAAAAAAAGGAAACGAATGCTTAAATTTGGACAGTAGAAGTGCTGCTGTTAAAGCAATATTTATAGACTCTGCACAAGAGCAAACCAGAAAGATGAATTTCACTGGAGCTTAACTTCTATTATTGAGAAAGTGATGGTAGCTTACAGAGAAGAAATCAGTCTTCCTGTAATATACCCTGGCTTCAGATTTGATCTGTCCTGTTTACAGATATAGATGTAGAAGTTTATGGAGATTCACTTTGTAGTATAAAGTGAGGTCATGGTGCAGAGGTGTCATGATTTGCATGATATCAACCCCCCCAAATTGTTTAGTTGTTGCTGTCTTAATGCAACTGTTAATAATACCTGCTGTCAAATCATTCTTACCGTGTTCTCCATCTGAAGCTGCCCTTTTCATAGCTGGTCAAGGCATGAAGAAAATGCTCTTTTTTCTTCATAAGCAACTTGTCATTTAGTGGTTCCTCACATGTCATACAGAGCAAGAGATTGTTCTTCGTGTGTTATGCAGTAAGCGTAGAAGTGGAGAAATCACATCAGTGTTAATTCTAAAAGCATTTTTATTGACTATTTAATAGTTGCATATATATAATATTGCATATTTTGACTGCTTTGGCAGGGGGCGTTGGACTAGATGATCCCCAGAGGTCCTTTCCAATCCCTACCATTGTCTGATTCATAAATACATATTTCATGATACTGCTTTTTATGTTATCTTAATGATTTGCATGAAGCCAAATGATTTTTCCTAGTATGATTTTTTCAGATGAAAATGACAGCTGCTTGTGTAGCTTTTACACTTGAATACAGTTATATTTGCTGAGTATTTATAGCTGAAGATATGGGAGCCCACTTCAACCCTTGCACACTTCTCAGGATATACGCTTTTAAAAAACTAAAGCGAAGAAAAGATTTTTTTAGCATTGTACTTCAGAGTGACCATGGCCTATCACAGTATGGTTGATAGTGGAGACACCTCTGGAGGTTGTTTTGTCCAGCTCCCCTGCTTAAGCAGGGCTGGCTAGAGCCTGTTGTCCAGGACTCTGTCCAGACAGTTTTTGAATGTGTCTGAGGAGGGAGCATCTGCAACCTCTCTGGGCAACCTGTTCCAGTGCTTTGTCACCTTCATAGTAAAAAAAAAAAAAAAGTATTCAAACTGGGTATCCGCGTTTTTGGTTTATGTCCATTGCCTCTTTTCTTGTCACTGGGAACTACTGAAAAGAGCCTGGCTTCATCTTCTTTACACTTACTGTGCAGGTGTTTATATACATTAATAGGATTCTCCTGGAGCCTTCCCTAAGTTAAACAGTCCCAGCTCTCTCAGCCTTTCCTCATAAGGGAGCTGCTGTAGTCCCTTAAACATCTTTGTGGCACTTTGTTGGACTCTCTTCGTTATGTCACTTTTCTTTTGTACTGGGTAGCCCAGAACTGGACACAGTACTCCAGGTGTGGCCTTGCCAGTGCTGGGTAGAGTAGAAGGATCATGTCCCTTGACCTTCTGGCAAGAATTTGCCTAATACAGCCCAGGATACTCTTAGTCACTTATTCAGCAAGGGCATGTTGTTGGCTCATGTTCAACTTTGTGTCCACCAGGACTCTCAGATCCTTTCCTACAGATCCACTTTCCAGCTGGTTGGCCACCAGCATCTGTGTGGGGTTGTTCCTTCTGAGGTGCAGGACTTTGCACTACCCCTTGTTGAACTTCATGAGGCTGCTATCAGCCCATTTCTCCAGCTTGCAGTCCCCCTGGACAGCAGTCTCCCCTCTGGATCTCAGCTGAGTTGGCTTATGTGCAATTATCTCAAACTGCTTGTGCTTATCCATGTCCCTTAAGATATTTAAGAGTACACCTGTTTCTGATGGTACAAACAGTTCTCTTCCCCAGCTCTAGTTTGAGTCACACTAGTTTCACTATCATTGTGCAGATGGGATAGTTAATCTTAGATCTGGGTAATCAAGGTATGGCTGAACAGGTTTTTGTCTACATGGCTTATGAACATCTCTTTGAAGAAAGCCAATGCTGTACCTTTTCAGTACATTTGGAATGCTTTTAAGCTCAGCGG